CGCGGCTGTCGCCGAGGCGGCACTTGCGGCAGCCCATGCAGCTGCGGAGGTGGTGAAACTGACCAGTGGCGGAGGCGGCGGTTCTGCTGGTGGTGATGGTGGTGGTGGCAGCCACCGGCGTTTGGCACAGGAAATGGCGGCAGTCAGGATACAGTCCGCCTTTCGAGGTTATTTGATAAGTGTGGTGTTGTTCTTCTTGATTTTTTCTCCCTTCTATAGAGACATGTGACGGTCGCCTCCGTAAAAAACGTCAAATTCTGTCCGCGCGTGAATAAACGCGCTTACGGGATTGAACCGTCGCGGTTGTCCCGATGTCCTCAGTTTTTATCACTTTCAAATGCCCTCGGAAGTCGGAACTACGGTTTCATTTTATCATTCCAATATTACCTGAGACGGTCTAACCTACGAAGAGTATCGATGGAGGGGACGAAATTAGAGATGATTTTAGAAGATGATAAGTTATGCAGAGTCAAATTAGTAATTACACCATATATGAATTCTTCCATCACTTGTCATCTTTAAAATCGTCTTTCAATTTCGTTCCTTTCATCATTACTCATTTCTTCTCTTTTTTTTTTTTTTTTTTCAACTTTCTTCCCTTGTTTTCGAATTTTAGTAGAATTGACCCTAAAAAACTGATATCCCTCTATTTTTTTTTCTTCTTTCCTCTGCTTCCTCCCTCTCTGGTTTTTCATTGGCTTTTCTCTTCTTTCATGCAGATTTATAGATTTTTTTTTTTTTCTCGTCCGATATCCGGGGCTTCGCCTCGACTAATTCGAATTCAACCCATGTCGTGCACCTGAAAATGATGGGTGAGTTTCCCAGCGGGAGCTACTGTGTACTTAAGATCTCAAACTCAAGATATTACTTAAACTAAAACAAACCGCTTACCACTTAATCCAACTTCTCATTGGTAGATTTATAGATTGCAGAGAGCAGAATTCTTTCTTCCTCCCTTCGAGAAACAAAAAAAGGAAATACGAGTTCTAATATAAGATATTGATGTCAAAAAGAGAGAAAATAAAAAAGAAATTGACGCGAGTGGGACCCACTGACTTCCCAAAACTGGATTCGTGCTGTCCATCACACGGCTCCATGGGGAAGTGATCTCACGCGCGCTTGGTGATGGGGGACTTAGGGAAGTGCTTTCCGTACTATTTTATAGTCCTTATAGCTTATTGATGGAATTAAATTTTTTTTATAGCACTTTATTAATGGAATTATGAGAACAAAACCATTATTGATTGTGTTTTTGGTGAAACTAATGGTAATTGCTAATTGGCATGGATTGGGAACAAGAGTACAATCATTGCCACATAAATGTTCTATTGATCATGAATTTTGCCACGTTGATGT